ATCTATTATCTCTTTATTCTGGAGGCTCAAAGTTCATGATCAAAATACTGGAAGGTTAGATTCTGGTGAGGTTTTTCATCTTGGCTTGCAAGATCTGTCTCTAACATGGCCTTTCTTTTGTATGATGGGGGAAGGAAGGAGGGATGTCTTTTTTTTTTTTTCTTTCTTCCTAGATGAATACTAGTGATAGCTGAGTATGATTTCATGCATCTTAGAAGGCTGAGGCAGGAAGATCATGAAATTAAGGCAGCCTGGGGTGTATAGTGAGACCCTGTTCCATAAGCGGGGGCACACACAAATAGTCCCATTTGTCTCATTTACTTTGTGTTAGTTGGTTTTTTTGTTGTTATGGTAAATACCTGGAAAAAACAATATGAAAGGAATACTTCTTCGTTTTGGCTCATGGTTTTGCAGATTTTGGTCCAGGGTTGGCTGAATCTATTTTCAGGCCTGATGCCAGGCTGACCATCGTGGCAGAGAGCATGTGGGGAGCAAAGGCACTCTACCTCATTGCAGACCTGAAGGAGAGATAGGAGAGGGGCCAAGGCAAGGCATACCCTTCAGATATCTAGTCACCTTTATCCTCTAACCACCTCTCAGATCACTGTGAACTTATCAGTGGAGTAACCCATTGATGAAACTCATACCCTCACAATCGAATCAGTGACTGGATCTACTAGCTGGGGACCATGACTTCACCACATAAGACTTTTGGAAGAGGCTTTATCCACTATCCATAACAAACCATATGCTTTTTTTTTTCTTTTTAATTACCTAAAAATTTACAGTCAGTTTTAAAAGAGATGCATCTTTGCTCTGGAAACTGTTATTGACCGTATCAATGCTGTTGTAATGAAATGCTTCTATTAATTATGTGGTTATTAAATGAATTTAAAAAAATAAGCATATTTACTTCATTTAAAACCCTCTTTTTAAATGCAGTCACATTGGTATTTAGAACATAGGCACAATTCAGTTCATAACACCTTGGTTACTTTCATGTAGTTACTATGTACTTTTTTTTTTTTTTGTAAAACACAGCTATTTTCTATGAATTTTATATTCCTCTTGTAGCGGAATACCTCATATAAGCTGTCTTTGCCTGTCAAGTAGAATTGAGCTAGTTGGTTTTTAAATGCTGAAGGTCTTTGGTTCTCCAGTTCAGAGTTATTGATTTCCTGCATTTATCCATCAGGAAGGTTATAGGAGGTATCCTATGTTCCAAAAATCAGTGTTTTATCAACTCACATTGGAAGTGAAAGGCTTACTCATTCTGTGTACCCCTAGATTCTGATACAGGGTTTTTAGCTAGTTATGTCAGTTAGTTTTTAATGTACATAGTAAAGGTTTACATGTAACATGTTTCTTTCTTCTAGTTAATAAAATCCTTTATTTATATAGCATAATTTGTATTATATGGATACCTTTTCATTATAATGAATTCAAGTAATAAAGTGATTGTAGATAGCAAATGTGAGAATCTCTCTGTCTTAACCCTACTTCTTTTTCAAACAACAGCACTTTGGTATACATCTTTTCAGTTGTCTTTATACAAATATATATGGATATTAATTTATGCACATAATTTCAAAAATAATGTCATGCTGTATAGTGTCTTCATTTGTTTTTATCAGTAGTGTGTCTTGGAGGTTTTTTCACACATACCAGCATGTATGTATATAACATTTTTAAGAAATGAGCGTGATAGTGTAATGATGATAGCATTGAGTCATTTAACCACTCTCTTTTATTGGACATGTTTGTTTTCTTTATCATTATTAAAAATAATGGTGTGGAAATCCTTACAAATATATCCCATTTGTGCCATGATTCCTTTAGAGTATATATTGTACATGTGGGGGTGAAAATACTGAAAATTTTGATAGCTACTGCCAAACTGTCTTCCTAAAAAGACTTAACAAATTCGCGTAGCTATCGACAGGGAGTTGAGAGTGTTGATTTACCCTCATCATTGCCAAAATGATACCACTGTTTTAAAATTGCTTCCTGATGGTTGAAATTTTAGTTTATTTTTTTAAACTTGCATTTATTTATATGACATCTGAATGTTGAGCCTCCCTTCAATTTCTTTATTGACCCTTTTTATTTTTCTATGAATTGCTCTTATTGGCCTATTTTCTTAAGAACTTGAATAGCTTTTTAGTTTGATTTATAAGAATTTTTAAAAATATATTTTAATATGAATCTTTTATTTTAAATTCTGCATGTGTAATTTTCTCTGCTGCATCTCTTCACAACGCTTATAGTGTCTTGTAGAATGCAGATTTTTCATTTTGTAGAAAGAAGTGTTAATCATTTATTTATGGTTTCTGTATTTTGTGTAGAGCTTAGGAAGGACTTCTCTGCATAATCCATTCTTTTCTTACTGATTTGTAACTCCTTTTATCTTAATCTAAGTTTCCATTTATGGGCAGATGTATTTCTGTTCCTGCCTTTCTTTCTGTTATTTTTCTAATCTGTTACCAGTCATGTATTCCTAGTTCATGTGTTTGTCAGGTCTTTTGAAATCTGAGAGGTCAAAAACATTGCCTTTCATTTCATTTCTTTTGTACAGCTATCCTTGCTGTTTTATTTATGGTTTCCCCTCCTTTTTAATCTCAGCTCTTATTTCTCAGTATTGCTGTAACCTTAACTGTACTTTCTTCTGATTTGTGGCAGTTAAGTTGTATGTGCATAAAGATAACAGACTGCTGCTGGTGTTTTAGATAAAATGGTCTTTGATGTAAGAAAGTGAAAAATTCATAGGGAACTGATTCATGGGTAGAACCAATGTTCATGTGTTAATACATCAAGTTTATTACATGTTTTAGTTTCTCAGAGGCCTGCATATTTTTGTTTCCGACTTCTTTGAAATATTTCATACAGTTGATGTTTCCGAATATGCAGCCTCTATATAAACCTTACTGTGTGTTAAAATTATTTTAAGAATAGAAGCTACCTTGCTGGACTTTGCCACTTTATGTTAATCAACGCTGTTAATAGGAAAAGAAAGTCAGTATGACCAAGCTTCTATTTTGCTTTGGGGATTTCTTTCTTAACAGTGGGGAATAAAATTAAAGTGAAAAAAAGGTAGGAAAAATAAAATCATCTGTTACCCTTATTTTAAATCAGCTGTAGCTACTCTATTCTAAGTGCAGTATCTGTTACCATGGAGTTTCCTTAACTCGAGGTCAGCTTCCTTAAAAAGCTAGGACTTGCTTTATGCTTTGAAAGAATAATTCTCAGCGGCTTTGAGCAGCTGTAGCCTTTATTATACCTGAATTGCTAAGTGTACATGAGGAGCTTAAAGTAGTCATCCTGTGTTTCTGAAAAACCAATACAATATTCTGCACTGTATGTGTAGACTTAAAGCATAGGAAATAGAGCAGTGGAAATACACACACACACACACACACACACACACACACAATATATTGCACAGTGTTGAATTATTTTACATTTATGTTATTAAAATTAAATAAAGAAGACTTGGAAACCTTTTAAAAATTATTGTATTACCTTTGTTTATCTAGGGGGATGTGCATGTCAGGTGGTTCAACATGTGCACTTGGAGGTCAAAGGACAACTTGTAGGAGTCAGTTCCTTCTGCCATGTGGATCCTGGAGATTGAACTCAGGTCATCAGGTCTGGCAGCAAGTGCCTCTGCCTGCTGAGCCATCTTGCCTGCCAGATTTGACAACCTTTTAAAAACTATTTTTTTGAGATAGGGTCTCCCTGCAGCCCCAGCTGGCCTGGCACTTGCTATGTAGATCAGGCTGGACTTGAACTCATAGAGATCCTCCTGCCTCTGTCTCTCAAGTGCTGGGACTAAAGGCTTGTGCCACCACGCTGGCTCTTAAGCCTGTCTTTAAAGTATTTCTAATATGAATTTGTATGTATGTGTATTGCATTATTCTTGGGGAAATGCCGTTTCACTTATCCTTACACAGGTAGATTATTTAAGGGTTTCTGAGATTACATTAAGCGCTAAGGAACCTGGGAGACAGAAAGGAACTGATCCTTTTTCTACACACCTCAAACTTAAAGTACCTCAAGCTCCAGAAATGGCGTATTTCTGTAACATTTAGGGAGTCTAGTCAGATCACACGTGAGGAAGAAACATGGTTTTGGGGTTCCTGAACCTACATTTATCCTGTACTCCTAGTAGATTTGGTAGTTGATAGTCCAAAGGACAAAACTCACAAAGTAGATCTGGCCTACAGAAATATAGATTCGTTGGCTCACACAGTGTTTTTAAAAATACCTGGATTTCTGGTATCGCCTGGAAAATCAAAAGCTCTGAAAAGCCGTATTACGTGACAGCAGCTGAATGGGCACATGCTCTCCAGCTTGTCAGAACCCATACCACTCTAGCCTGAAGGTGTCAGCCACCATTTATCATGCTGGTGCAGTCATCTTGCTTGAATTGTTTATGGGGCTTCTCAGGCTTCTGAAGCTTTCTAGTTTATATCCATCAGTCCACTCATCTTTCTTTCTTTGGTGCAGCTAAAATAAAAATGAGTAGATAGTAATTTAACATAAAACAAAATCAACCCGCTTAACCCAGAAACATACTACACATTCGTGTCTTTATGCCTTTGCTATTGCTTTTTCTTTCCCTGAAATGCTTAATTTACCCTTTTGTCCAGTGAATCCTACTCAGCTCAACTGCCAGCAGTTGGTTCTTCTTTGATCACCTCTGTCTACAGAAGTTTCTTCCTCTTCTGAAATCTTCAGACATTTTTCTCAACATGATACTTGTATTATACTAAAGACTTAAGAGATTTTCGTTCAAGGATTGTGTTCCTGTGAAGAGGTCTTTGATTAGTCTCCTTTTGTGTGTAGTCTTTTATTAATATGATTTTAATTACTCCCTCCCCCAGGAAAATACATGTATACCTGCTATTCCGAAGACTAAGAAAGTAGTCTTTTTTCATTCCCTAGTTTTCCCAGTTGGCCTTCTGCTTAATTTAAATATTTTTTTTCCTCTTGCTTTTCAGTTACAGATGAAGATACAGTTAAGAGGTATTTTGCCAAGTTTGAAGAAAAATTTTTCCAAACCTGTGAAAAGGAACTTGCCAAAATCAACACATTTTATTCAGGTATGTAGTCACAAAAGACAATTTCTGCTCACAAGGAAGGAAAAATTCTGAAATGTCATTGTTTATACTGCTGATCAGCATTGTTTGAGCCTAGTGTCTTTGCTATACTGCATTAATGACATTTTGTTTGTTTGTTTGTTTGTTTGTTTGTTTATCTATCTTTAGAACATGCCTGGTATCTTGCTTACTGTTTAAGGTTTATATGTGCATTGCCTCGGTTTCCTTGTAGTTATAATACCTCCAGAGTTACAAATTTGATTTTATAATTTATAAGATTTAATTACTTCTAGCATTTCATTCTTGTTAATTTTATGCCTCTTCGCTGGCTAGAACACTCATATCTGTGTCTCTCTAAAGCACAGGTCTTTGTCTTTATAATGAAAAAATTTTGAAAACTCTGCTGTACAGCACTGTCTTAGGGATCACAAGTTCTGTGAAACCTAGTTGATGATTAGATAGTTTCGTAAGTACAGAATCAAAACAATGAGCAAGATTCAGAGGGATACTTCGTCCACACTTTGGATAAACTTTACATGTGATCCCTGCCTAGTATATCACTGAACTTAAACCTTCATAACTTGGAATTACCTATTGGATATAGTGATCAGTCATGAATTTCTTAATATGCTTTCTGTTGCTAATAATAACACATTACTGTAGATGAGGTAAATCTGAAAAAAGTTGTTTTTTTTTTTGTTTTGTTTTTTTGTTTTTCCTGGTTTATGTTTCGGGAAATCCAAGGTTAAGCAGCACCTACATTTGTTGATGGTCTTGCTGAGAACTCTGAGGCAATGTAGGGCCACCACTTGGCAAAATATAGGGAACACACACCTGTGTTCTGTTTCCCTCTTTTAATACCACTAGTATTTGGTCATAGTACCTCAACCCTGATGACTGTACCTAATCCCATTTACCTCCCACAGACCAACCCCTAAGCATCATAGTTAAATAAAATTTCCATCCTCTTGATATTTCACAATTGTGCCCAATCTTCATTATCAGCTTTTTGAGGGGCAAGCCATATTCAAACCATAACAATAGTTATGTAAATTTTATTCTACAATTTTATTTAATATCAAAAGCATAAAATTGATTCTCTTTTTATATTTAACATAAAAATTACAGTCATGACCGCTATGTTATTATTTGCTTTTTTTTATCTTTTTTTTCAACCAGCTGTAATTATTAAGAATATATTTTCAACTTTTGGCAAAGACTTTGGAAATACATAGGTAATCTTTTGAGACGGGGTCTCCCTGTAGCCCCAGCTGGCCTGTACTCGCTGTATAGACCAGGCTGGACTTGAACTCACAAAGATCTGCCTGCCTCTGCCTCCTGAGTGCTGGGATCCACGTCTGGTGGAAATACATAGTCTTAATACTAGCACAGTCATTATAAAAATAGTAACATAGGTTAGTCTGAGGATGAGTAGTCACATGATGTATTAGTTTCTTTTTCAGAGAATAATTTTTTTGTTTCCTAGCTTGTCTACAACTTCTAGAAGCATCTTATTCAGATGTTCTGTCTCAGCAGCCCCTCAGGTGTGGCTGATTAATCTTTTTAATGGCACGATGGGAGATGAGAGATGGAGAGAGGCAAGAAGCAGTAAAAAGCAGCATGGAGGGGCTTTGGGTGCTACTGTTCTTCTAAATCAGTATTGCTATATATCCTGTGAAATGGATCTTCTTGACATTCAGTATTTAATAGAACATGCCCCTCCTACTGATCCCATGTTTGCTCACTGAAAATTTAGATGCCTGGCTCCCAATCTAAAGCTCTATCTTGACTTTTTGGAAAATGCTGGTGACTTAATTGTCCTAATGAATAGACCACTTTTGCTTCCACTCTACATTGGTCACATTCTCTTGTGGCTATACTTGTTGCTCAAAATCGTTCTCCTCTACGTTAGTAAACCCCAGCATAGGAGTCTATAGCCATATGCCCCAGCTGAACTCCCTTCTCTTTTAATTAACGTCTATGTTTTTTATCCCTGTCTCACAGAGCTCAAATTTCTTCACAATTTCATTATATTCCTGTCAATCATATTATACCCATAATTAATTTCTCCTCATCAATGATTTTAATCATTTTGTACCCTGTACTTTTTAATTCTTTCAGCCTTATGGCTTTATATTCTGTTTGCCTAGTAAAACTCAACCATTCTATAATATCCTTAATGCGAGTCTTCTGGATTGCTTCAGATAACAGTAGAACAAATTGAAGCCACTATAAATTCATTGTTTTAATCTTAAGTAGATTCACAAAAGTGTCTAGGGCTATTTTATTTTATACTTTACTTTGCTGAGGATCCAATCCAGGGCCTTGAACATTCTAGGCAAGCACTCTACCACTGAGTTATATCCCTATCACCACTCCTGAATTCCTTAAAGTTCTACCCCTTTCTTAAAACTGTACTCATTATACAACCCTCTTCTTTACAAATAAAAATAAAGTGGTCTGGGGAGATGGCTTAGTTGGTAAAGTGCTTGCTAGAAAAGCATGAGGACCTGAGTTCAGATCCCCAGCACTGCTATAAAAGCTGAGCCTGGTGGTACACATCTATAACCCCAGTACTGGGGAGTAGATCTTAGGGGCTTGCTGACCTGCCAGTGTAACTAAAACATTGAGCTCTAGATTCAGTGAGAGACCCTGTCTCAAAACATCAGGTTAAGGGCTAGGGACATGGCTCTGTGGAAAAAGTGCTTTTCCACCTAAGCATGAAGACCCAACTTCAAATTCCTAGAACCCATGTAAAGTCACATGCAGTAGTGCAAGTGTCTGTTCCCAGTGCAGGGAACAGGACAGGGAGATGGAAGGCAGAGACAGGAAAATCCCTGGAATCTCATAGGCTAGCCAATCTGGTATATTTAGTGCAGGAAAGAAGGGTGCTGGAGACTCCATCTCAAACAAGGTAGAAGGCAAGGACTGCCACATGAGGTTGTCCTCTGACCACTTTATTCACACTGTGGTATGTGCAGGCCCTTGTACACATGTGTGCGCACACACACAAACATACATTAATTTTAAAAATAAGGGCCATCAGTTCTGTTGATGTATATATAATATTGTGCATATTTTTGCTGCCCCTTTACTCAAATACTTACAGATATTCTCATCTTTGTTTTTATCCAGTGTTTGTAGAGTAGATACTACTCTTTATTCTGTGGCAAATCTCTACCACTACTGCTTGAATTGAATTCTATGGGGCTTGTTCCACTAGTGATTTGCTCTGAAGGTTAATTAAATAAACAAATTTAACTTTCCTTTAAACTGGTTCAAATGTTTAGTAAATCATTCCTTTGAAACCAAACAAAATAGACAAGCAAGTCTTTAAAGTATTTTATTATTTTTTATGTGCATGAGTGTATTGCCTGCATGTAGGTAAGTACACTTGTGTCATGCAATGCCCATGGAGGACAGAAGAGGCTGTTGGATCCCCTGGGACGGACTGGACGGTTGTTAGCTGCCATGTGGGTGCTGGGATTTGAACCCGGGTCTTCTGCAAGAACTTTCAGCGT